GTGGGGGTTAAATAAAAGAAGAAAAGGAAATGCAAACTATTGAAAGCAGTAAGACTCTTTGGCAATACACCACAGGATATTGGAAGAACACTATCTTCCACTGGCCTAGATAAGCATTTTGATCTGTGTCATTAACCATCATCTAGTATTCAAGAGACGACTTTCTCCTGGCTCAGCATACCATCTGAGCCATGGATGAAGCGGTGTTGAACAGAGTACGGTAGCCTCAAAAGTCAAAAAGTGCCTCCATAGAACAAATTACTGCTAAAGGTAGAAAAGCATAACCACCCAAATGCTTAAGTATGAAAGCTAGTTACCTCGAGCATATTGTACTGTTGTTCAACCTAAACTTATATGCATCCCTCTATACAGCAAGAACAACTTTTGAAGCAAAGACTTACTTGCAGAGGATGTAGTACTTAAGTAGCACGAGATGACAGAAATAAATTGCTAAAGGATGACTGTAAGAGCTTCTAGCAGTACAAAATGGAAAGAGAGAAACGGAAAAGAAAAAATGAAAAAGAGATGCTAAGTAGAAAGAAAACACTGTAATGTAAATTCTGTTAGGACATCATTAGAGAACCACATCACTTACCCTCCATCCACAATCTCATCTAGGCACAAAAGCACCAAATCTAAGTTCTCAAGAGCCTCTCTCTGCTCAACATTACTCCTGCAACAATTGAATGATCGTTTAGACAGCAAGTGTGCACATCTGAAAAGATTACAGTACAAGACTCAAGATAGTTTAAGGATTTGGCCCATTGTACCTGAGAAGAACGGTAACTGCATCAAAGAAGCCCTGGAGAACAGTGGCTAGAATTAGTTCATTTTCATCATCACCTCCCGTTACAAAGAAGTGAAGGTCTTGCACAAACTTATAGACAACAACGCTATTATCAAACATTGCTATCTCAGCTGCAGATCAATACTTCAAAAAGTAAGCAAAAAGAATGAAAATTAGAGAATCCTACTAAAATGAGATCCAGAATACAAGTATATAAAGAACTGGCTTTATTCCTTATTTACAAAGTAAACTAGAACACAGAAAAAGAAGGTCCAATAAACATAAAACCCCATTTCTCATGGTTAAAGAAAATCAATTAAGCAAATACAATTTCAGCACCAGATCATTTGGTAATGGAGCAAAAGAATGACTTTGCATAAGCATACAAATATGCAGCCATAAAGATTAAAGAGAAACCATAAGGTTGAGCGGTACCTTCAGTGCGAGCGTTTGTCTTTTGAGTCTTGGTAAAAATAGCCTTCTCAAAAGCAAGCTTGGCACTATTTGCCGGCCAGTCATCGCAGTAGTACTTAACAGCTACACGCTTTCCTTCCGAATCCAAAAGAAGTATATTCTTGACCACAGGGCAAGAACCCTACAGCAATCATATGATCATTCTACCATGAGTAACCATTAAGCCATTGTACGCAAGGGGGGGCTAGTAAGGAGCAAGGACGTTCAACTGAATTCACTTCAGCGAAAAAATATATTGTGAAAATAGGGTAAAAATAATATTATTTTTTTAGCATTATAAACTGTTGAATCCTCTTTGACTTAAAGAAAATTCTAGTACAGTGATAAGGGGTTTCCAAAATTGCGTTATGTCAGAAATTTGTCCCAACTATGACATTCTAGCATGTTTTGAATCCTCTTATATAAATTCCTAGCTTTGCAACTCATTGTACCCACATTCAAAGTTCAGTGATTTACATCTTTAGCACGCACTTCTCGAACACTAAATGACAGTGACAGATGCAAATATACAAGGGAGCTACTTTTCACTTGGACACAATATATATATATATACACACACACTAAGTTCACACACGTTTTCACAAATACATAGTGAGTGCAGTGTTACTTCGCATCAAGTTAAGAATGATGGGATCAAATCGTTCAAAACCCGTTTTGGACCAGATTTGATCAAATAAATGACACGTAACAAATACATGAGTGTATGTCGCGAGTGATACCTGAACTATGCAATGATTATAAAATGATGAGCTAGATCAGCTAATATTACCCCAAGATTTTATTATTATTTTCTCTTTTGATGATTAATCAACCAACGATTAGCTAAGTCCTAATTAATTATGCACAGATCAGATATGTAATACGAGTGAACAGAAACATGCAGAAATATTTCGAGAATCGCGCATCGTGATCGACTAATAAATAGATTATTAGATCTTTGAACTTAATTGAAGAAATTAAAGCGTTTTTAAGGGGAAATGAAACTGCAAAAGTAAGTTAAGAGGGGAAAAGGAAGAAGACGTACGTAATGGAGAGGAAACGCCATTGATGGAAGAAGTGATTCACAGAAGAAATTGTTCCGTCTTGATTTGGAAGCTTAACTGTTGGCTGGTAAACAGGTATTGTATTTTTATTTTTAGTAAACAGGAAATTACATCTAATTTTTAGCCTTAATTCTTTTTACCTTCACTTGTTCTAAGGATAAACTTTTAAGATCAAAATTAAAAGTATTACTCATAAATAGAAGTGTAAAATGAGCGGCATGAGTTTATTTTGAGCGGTCAAGATAGATCTATATATCTATAATAGAGGTACTTTGGCACGGTGACGTAGCACTCTCCTAAACAAGGATTTCAAATTATCTTTTTTCTCCATTTTTTCACATTTCTAAAACTCATTCTTTTTATTGTAATAATAATTTAATAATTATATAGGAGTTCAAACGTCATGTCTTTTGAAAAAGAATTTCAAAAGTCATTACTATTAATAAACAACCGTTTTCTTACATAAGAGAACCCAAGGGCAAAATTTTGAAGGACTTATGGCAATTATATATAGAATCTAATGCCTGTCATAATGGTGAGGAATTTCTACATCATGTATGTTGAAAAGGCAACTGAAAATATTTTTCGGATTGGGCTTTAATAACCATTTGTCATCTTCAAAGCTTTTGTCCATCTCTATGGAGTGGATGCATCATCTCTTTTTAAAAGTTATGTTTTCCTTCCTTCGTTCATACATATGTATTTTTGTTTTTCCTTTACTCACTTATCCCATACGAATGGATCACGGCGTTTGAATTTCATCATTCTGGAAAAATGACTTCTAAAGGAGATACAAGGGTCACGACCTTTCCACCAACATCACCGTTTGCATATTCTCATTTGACATCTTATTTTCTTCATATTTCATATCTCTCCATCTAATATCAAAAAAACAAATTCCCTAAAATGTAGCGAAAGCCATGGTAATACCTTAAACTCGGCCTATAGTTTTTTTTCAACTAGTACAAATTGAAGAAGTGAGTACTTTTTGGAATTTTTTAGGTAGCAATCGTTGTTGCACAGATTTTACAAACACATCTTGAAAATTCTTGGTTATTTTCAGGTTTAAAAGACAAGCATGAAATTTGGGCGCTATGACAAAGAGATCCTTGACATTGTAGCTTTGATGTAGAAAGGCCTTATCTCATATGAGTGGATGTTGGCCGGATGTAAATTTTGNATCCCGACTAGGGTTTATGAATCACTCAAACGAGCCTTTCTAGCCGCATCTGAATCGGCATCCCTATCCATATGTTTATGCGCAGGGGCATCCAAATCCGAATCTGTAGAATCTATTGGGGAATCCCCATCCGCACCCGAATTGGCTAAATCTAGTATAGTGGGTCTTGTTCCGATGCGGGAAAAAATCTTTTTAAAGGGCATCTCGGCGAAAGAGGACTGAGAACCATAAGGCGAGCGCCAAAACGCTAGCACAAACTGCTCCCACAGACACGCATGATAAGGGGGTGTGGGGACAACCAGGCCACCACTTTTACCAGATATGGGTCCGGACGACCCAAGAGCCCGCCATGCTAACTCGTATCTTAATGCTGAGTGTTAGATTATCATTTGAATCATGCAAGATATATTATTATGAATTTATGACTATCCATTGAAGTTATTATTAAATTTAAATATAAAATAAATCCAAGTAAACCACCTAATATAAAAATAAGAAAAATGAACTTTTTCAAAAAGTATTTTCTCTTCTTTCCATTTCCAGAAAATCAAAGAAATGACAAAAATTTAGAAACCTATATAGATTGTAAGACCTAAAAAAGCTAATAAAATTATTTAGTTAAGTTTATAATTTCTAATCGAGGAAAAAATAAAACATATCTACAATTGATACTAAAAAAAATTATAATACTTAAAAGTATAAAAATGATTAAAATGAGCGAGAAGGTAAAACATTTACGTGTCTAAAAAAAAGTTGTTTGTATGAAACCATAAAAATAAAAACAAAAATAATATTTTACCTAACCATTACTTGGAATGTAGACATTTTGAGTGAAGTGTGATTATCATTGGGATTGTGTTCATATATCCTTTATTATGGGATTACCTTCATATCCTTAATTATATATGAATCGCATCACACTCATGTAAAGAGTGATTATAGTGAGTAAATTTTTCCTTTCTTGTTTTAGTAATGGAGAAGAAAGAGATAAATTATTGACGGTGCTTCGATGGAGAAGTATAGTGATATATGGTGGATATAAAAATTTCTATGATCGTTAATTTAGATATTAATTAATGTACAGAAGGAAATAAAGCTTCATAATTGTCGGAATATAATTAATGACAACATGATTTTAATAAGGATGAAGAACGATAAAGTTTTATCATTTTTGTTACTTCTAAAAAGTAACTTTATCATTTTTGTTACTTCTAAAAAGAATTATTTGTTACTATGTGGTTGTATATGTAAAGTTATTACCCCTCCGATAAAATAAGAATAACCCCATGTTCAACCCCTTTTTACCAGTAATATCGTCGTGGTAGTAATATCACTTTTCTTTTGCCTTCAATTTATTTTTTTATGAAACTGATTATACGAAGTGTGTTGGAGCAACCGAAAAACATAAATATGTCCTATAATTTATTCAACTAATAGAACTAAAACCATAAAGAATTTTTTAAAATTGCAGTAATTTAGTTTTATTTCACGCTGCTAAGTCATTAGTTTTTAAATAAAAAGCAGGGACATAAAAAGCTGATGTGGCATTCCCAATGACCAGCAATTAGATTGATCTTTTTTCTCCTTTTTTTTGCAATATTTTCCTTTACCTTACTTAAAGAAAATACAAAACAAAACAAAAACACTAACAAACTTGCGTCGTTTCCCTTGATTGTAGCTACATGATAAATAAGGAAAAATAAATTTTACCGCCGTTTCTAAATTCTAATGGATGTGTTCATAACATATGCGACTTTTCCCTTTAGTTTCTAAGACAAATGCTTAATAATGTTTTTGTTAATTTGTATGGAATAAATGCCTACCGTTACAATAAGGTTTAAATGGTTACCGATGCTTACCGCTATAAGAAGGCTTCGGCTTCCATGAGGTTTAAATGTATTTGCCTTTTTTTTTTTTGCAACTACAAAAAGGTGAATAACTTTGGCTCTCATGTGAATTCTCAAGAAACTAAACTAAAAATGTAGTCCCACTATTTTATTTGCTCATGGAGTAGTCAACAGTGAGTACTTCATGCATTTCTTCACTTCTTTTATTTTTTGCTCAAATATATCTAAATCAAATATCAGATGATTTATTCAACGAAGGATTATATATGAATATCTTTTGTTTAAGTACCTTGAGTTCATTATTGACATATTATATTTCTCGTAGCCTTGGTGAATGTGATTCCCGTATAATATTCACTACTAAAAAACTGGCTAATTTCGTCCAGGAAAATCGATCGAAATCGGTCGGAAATTAAGAAAAAGTGACTGATTTCCGACCGCTTTTAACTAGTCGCAAAAATGATGGTCGCTAAGGTGTTTCGACCGAAATCGGTCGGAAATTTCAATGCGTTGACTGACAGTCAAACTATATTTACTGACTGAAATCGGTCAGTATTAATTAAATTTTATTTATTTATTTTTCAAAATACCGACCGAAATCGGTCGGTATTAATTAAATTTTTTTTTAAAACTTTTTAAAATACCGACCCAAATCGGTCGGAATTTTAAATATATAATAATTTTAGAAATCTTCCAGATATATACTTTTTATATTGCATGTATACTCTCCAACCCAAGATATCATAGCACCACAATATTATATCTTATTACTATATTACTAATTAGTACTAGTATATATTATCATTATTATTTTATTGAATTCTAATTCTAAATATAGAATATTAAATCTTATTACTAACCATTAACTACAACCCTTCCTATATTTACTTATTTTTTGTTAGTCCACAAATGTTGGACTCTATGCATCAAAGCTCAACTTATAATATGGAAAAGCTCACATCTATTCGCCGATGTGGGACAAGAGTATTTTCTAATTTTTGACGGAAATCGGTCGGAAGTTTTGAAAAATTTTAATAAAAAATTATTTTTCCATTTCAGCTGATGTGGGACAAGAAAATAATTTCAAATTCCAACCGAAATCGGTCGGAATTTTTGAAACATGTTAATAAAAAATTATTTTCCCATGAAAAAACCCACTACTTCTCTTCCCATGGAATATTTATTTACTAATCTATCCATTTTATTATTTGTTTCTTTCTTTCTTTTTTATGAAAAAAAGAGTGCATTAAATAAGGATTCCATAAATCAAAAAAAAATTATTTCAAGTGAATAAAATTATGATTACATTTTAATGTAAAAATATGCTTAGTTATTTTTTCTAAAATTTCATTTATAATCATGAAATAACACATTAATTGTTTTATATAAAAAAAATATATTAACTAACCAGAATTAAATATATCGTACATTGATTAAGTAATTGGTATATAAGCTATAAGCTATATTGGATACAACTCATATATATA